GAGTGTTTTGACCTACATGTCTTTTTATTTTTGTGAGTTGTTTTATTTCTCTTATACTTGAGCAATTTTAATGCATCATTCTGTCTAGATGTTTTAGAAATAAATTGGAAGTGTTTAGTTATCTGAGGATGTGAGCTAGCAAGTCTCTTTCAGAGGCACTGGCTGAAACATCTTGCTTGCTCTTTTTTAGGTTAAGCGGTGGAAGCAGTATTTTTAATGCTTAGGAGTTCATTACTATAATCTCACTACTGCAGAAGAAAATGAATTTTTAGGGCAAAAAAATGTCTGGATTTTTTTTTAAACTGGATTCTTATAATGTAATATGGTCCTATTCATTATATTCAGTATGTACCAACTGAATTTGTTGTAAGTTTTTAGAATAGGGGGTAGGGACTGAACTACAGCTCTTGTTACAATGAGGAGAGTTTGTTCTATGCTCCATTCCTAATGTGGTACGCTTACCCTTTGGTATGCACTATTTCCTAAATCAATAAATAAGCTGTAATGGAAAAGGTAGCATTTAATAAGGAACGACATTGTATGGTTTTTTTTTTTTTTACAGACAGCAAAATATATTGATTCAGCTATCAAACCTGTAAGAGATTAGTTTAAATTGCAGAAGCTGGGGAATAGGGTCAGTTCTTATACATATTTTTGTTATTGTTGTGACTGTTAAATATCTACCATTAATTAATCCTTTTTTTCCCCCACTTCCATATAAATCATATGGTGTTCTGGGGAAACAAGAAACTATATTAATGAGCATCAACTCCCTAATTATCCTTGTGACTACATAACAGGGACACATTCATGTCATTCCTTTGTGCAATAACTTTTGCAAAGAAGTATTTTTAAACTGGTCATTAATTTTATGACCACAGAAATTAGATGCAAAATTTATGCTGTTGTCATTGGCACAAGTTCAAGGCACTACTGACATTATATGTGATTGGAATGGAATGGCTGCCAACTAATGAGTCTATAGACATTTGGTTTGAGCATGCTTTGCTTTTAGATGTCTGATTAGGCAGCAATGCTTTCAATTATGCCTGCAAATTGTATTGGATACATTTACCTGATGCCCATTGTTGCTTTGTAGTTCAGTGTTCTATTACATAAGTGCAAGATGATTGCTTTTTTTTAAATTTATTGATGCTTTTTGGGTGTATTTTTAGGTACTTGGCACCTTAAGAGAGTAGTGGTTTATGCTGCTCGACACTGACTCCTATGATTGTTCAAGGAGTAACACATGGAGCTTCTAATGCAATTCTGTCTGCTCTTACTCCGTAAGTGGAGTATGAACTGCAACACAACACATTGATGGAGGAGGATGTAAAATGGAGGAAGGGCAGAGATTATTCTGAGTAGGAAGGTGGGAGATTTCACAGAATCAACAAGAAGCCTCTCTGTGAACTGAGTGGAGCAAAATCTTTATATATTAATAGCATACAGTCCTAAGATGTCTTTTAACCCTGACAGAATTGGAGGCAAAACCCCAAAGAGGATACCAGAAAGTAGTCATTCTTTTATGTAAGGACGTAAACACGTTGTGAGATGTTGCCTCCAGAGCACATTGAGTCAGCTTTCCTACCAAAATGCATGCAGTTATGTACAAATTAGATGATTTAAGGATTACATTTTTCAGAGTATAATGCAAATTTACAAATACATTTATTTACTCTAAAAGAAGAAATGGAAGATTTTGTTTGTTTAATCTAGTCCTGCATGACTGCAGCATGCTTATACCTCTGTTTAGTGTCTGTCACCTATTCTCCACATTTCTCACTTAAAGTGTGGGTACCTAATTATATGACATATGATTTATTCATTTGTTCTGATTGTGTTTCTCAGTGAGGGCTTTTTTTTTTTCATGGGAGTCTTCAAGCCTTATTTAGGATTTAGCACCTAGAGAATGCTTTGAAGTCTATGAAGCACTGAGCGTGTAATTTCTTTTTTCATAATACCTCAACATTTTTCAGTTGTTTTAAGAGCACTTTGAATTTGGATATTGTAGAAGTAGAACAGATACTTGTTTCGTTATAAATCTACATTCAGTGTTGCCATGTTCTTTGATATTACAAATACAGTATATACCTGTGTCGTGGTTTAACCCCAGATGGCAACTAAGCCCCACATGGGATAGAGGAGATAATGGGAAGGGTAAAAGTGAGAAGACTCATAGGTTGATATAAAGTTTAGTAGGTAAAGCAAAAGCCACACATGCAAGAAAAGCATAACAAGGAATTAATTTGTTGCTTCCCATGGATAGGCAGGTGTTCAGCCATCTCCAGGAGAGCAGGACTCCATCACGTGTAACACAGTGACTTAGAGAGACAAACATCATCACTCCAAACATCCTCTCCTTCATTCCTTCTTCCCCCAGCTTTTATAGGCTGAGCATGACATCTTATGGTGTGGAATATCGCCTTGGTCAGCTGGGATCAGCTGTCCCAAGTGTGTCCCCTCCCAGCTTGTGCACCCCCAGCTTTCTTGCTGGTGGGGTGGTGTGGGAAGAAGAGGTCTTGACTCTGTAAGCACTGCTCAGCAGTAACTAAAACATGCCTGTATTATCAACACTGTTTTCAGCACAAATCCAAACATAGCCTGATACCAGCTACTATGAGAAAAAATAACTCTTTCCTAGCCAAAACCAGCACAATCTGGGATAGGTACAAGGTGTGCCCTAAATATGTATGTTTGTATGTATGTATTAAAAAGTCCTTTGTTCCTAGATATTAGCTTTTATATGAAATTAAAGCACAAATGTTTAATAAATTTGAAATCCTAAGCATACTTGGAAAATAGTAGTGTGGTGATTTAATGGAAGAGCAAGGTAACAGTGCAGCTAGGCAGACTTACATAAGAGATTATGTATTGCTGAGTGGGGCAAAATTCCCTGGAGATATTCTTTCTACATACATACTCACCTATTTTTCATCCACTAGTGCTATTCATTCAAATATATTAAGGTTTACAATTCAACCCATGAATTTTGAGTACTAGAGTGTGGTTTTTGTGGAAATGTTTCCCTCTAGAAATACAGCCTAATAATTTAAATTTATGCTGTCACCTTCATGAAGGTTAAATGATAGTATGTTTATGCATAGCTGATAAGAGGACATTTTTGATTGACAGCCAGGGCTTACATATACACACATATTCTATGGATTCTAGTATGGGTGAAAGTTTAGGACAGGAAAAGAGTGGAAAAACTTTTGCTATTGTATAGGTTGTAAATATCATATCTACTGTTTTTATATGGAGTCTCTCATCTAATAAAGATATATATAGGCAGAGAGAGACAGGCCAACTGGTCTCTGGCATCTAAGTGTGAAAGATGATCATGCTGGCTGTAAATAAGGCATAATATTTTCTGTTCATGTGCTATCTACTCTCTGTTTTTTTTTGTTTGGAGGAAGAAGTGAATCCTGGAGAGGGATAATTTACTTTTGATTGGTTTGACAGGTGTGATGAAATGCAAGTATTTTGATCAGATTAACACGATGACTGGCGTGCTACTGGGAGAGGGCTGTGTCAAAAATAGATTGGAGTCAGGTTCAGATTCAGAGCAGTTGTTAAATGGCATGAGAGCTTGAAAGGAAGCTTTCCCAGGAAAACCATACTAAATTAATGAAGGGAAAACCAATTTAGTATTCAACAACCTTGGCACATTAAAGAATTCCAGCAAAGCAAGTATCAGGCTTCGTTGTCTTATCTGCATAGAAAACTTTCTGTTCTTTGCAAACAACCATGGTGCTTTCTGGACATGGACTGTGAATTTTCCATGAATTTCCATTATTGAATAGGAAGGGGTAAACTTTCAGCCATGATTAGGCAGTCCTACTGATGAGCGCAATTCCTGTGTCTGTGGAGAAGAATATTTTCACAATGCAGGGGGTTTATTTTAGATTCTGAGAAATGAGTTATCCTATACAGTGCTCCAAAAAGGAACACATGAATAAAAAAAGATATCTGGAGGTCTCTGGAAAGCTTTCTGTGTACGTGTATACAAAAAGGCAATGCTTGAACAGTTTACTATTACATGGTTTTTAAGAAATTCGAGGGTCATTTGATCTATTGGTGCATCAACTTTATGATTCTCATCTGGTGATTTTTGTCATATTTAGTTTTTCTCCTTCACCAAGACTTAATTTGGTTTTCTTTTTAGGAGCAATGTAGTTTATATTCTTTTTCAAACTCTTTTTTGCCTAAATGTATTAAACATATCTGAGAAAATATAGTGAGTTTTGGGAGGGAGAACTTAAATTTTGTCTAATTAGATGAAAGCCTCAACTAATATTGATTTCAGTTTATCTTTCCCAGACCTCCACACTTGTGCATGACACTGATCAGACTGCATTAGGTCAGCTGATAATGTAGATTTTTTATCTATTGTAATGGAGCTCTCAGTTGTGTAAGAAATTAATTAACAGAATGCTACATTAAAGCATAAGTTCTGTCAGAAGGCGATTCCACTTCTGGCTTCTTGCGAAGAACGCACATACAAATTTGCAAAGCAGAGCCTAATTATAGTGAAAAAAGGTGAAAGTGGGCAGAGGTTGATGAACTGCTGCCAACTATACTTTGGCATTTCCTGGGAGGGAAGTCGCCGCGGCTCTGTCCTGCACTTAGACAGGCAGAACTTTGGATCCTGGTGCTACCCTTATTTCCTTCTGCCAGTGTTTTCCCTTGCCCACCTCTTTGCTGTGGTGTGTGTTTGTTTCACCCCTGTGTGAGAAGCTGCCAGCTGTGTGGTGCTGGGAGCAGCTTCATTATATGACAGCAGGTAGGGAAACTGCTCCAGCAACATGTACGCATAAAGGTAGCCCTAGAACAGCAGCGCTCACAGCTGCGCTGGAGCCTATGAGTGTCCATGAGAAATGGGAATTTTTCTATTTCAGATAGGAATTGATATCCTCCTTACTGTCAAAAATACTTTTATTCTGTCTGTGTTTGCACGATACACTATTTAACCAGCAGTATATTTCTGACTTTTACAGAACCGGAAGATGAGGACAAGTCTGAGAACTCTCTTTCTTCGCTTCCTGATAGTGTCTCAATAGCGTCTTACCGATATGATAAAGAGGATGAAGCACCTTCTGATGGTATGTGACACTCTTTACCTTAGAATGTACTAGATTTGCCAGTTTGCTATGAACTCACGTAATCGGATCCTTGTGATGCGAATGTTAGTGTTAGAAAACAGATAAACAGATAAACATCACAGCTGGACAGTTTTCTTACCTTTGCAAGAACCTTTAAAGGAACTGAAGAGCTCTCTCTAGTGGTCCTTGAGCATAGTGAAGCTGTCTCAAATTTACATGGTGTTTTCAAACTCATGTTTTTTGATAATAAAGCATCTTCTGTAGATGCATATGTTTTTAAAGATAGATCAGTGGCTAAAACAGTGTGAATATTTGTAGTAACAAATTGTTTGTTAATTCAACATTATCAGATTCTTGCTTAATTTTATTGTTCTACTTAATGGCTTACTGTATTATTTATCTATTAAATAATGAAACAGTTTATGTGATTGATATTTTTCTGCAAACTCCATCCAGAATAGGTTCATAAAATATTAAATTAATTATTCCTACAATGTTTCCTTCCATTAAGACAGTTTTTGTTATATAAATTTTAAATTTGAGTTTGCATTTAAAAAAAAAAACTAGGCTCCATAGCTGTTTTCCATTTGCTTTATTTTGTATTCATTAAGTTTAATGCTAAATGCAGCTGTTCTGAAGACATGAACAATTGAATATTTCAACAGTTAACAAGCTTGCTTTAGCATAGTGTCCATATTTTTGAGATTTGTTTATTGTATATGTAATATAAATACCTTCAATGGATAATATATGGCAATAAATTAAGTATATGTACAAATAAATTAACGATGTATATTAATTTGTGGCACTAGGAGTTAGATAGACTTACTTGTGAATGATGTTTTCTGACATGATATGATGATCAAACTGTGCAGCTCCATCTCGAAATACAATTGCTGAATGAAAATATGCTTCCTGCAACGTAGCACTCCACATTTTATGTTATCCAGATTATTCCCTTTGGAAACATAAATTGCTTTTATGAGGTATAAAATTATGTCTATTGCAGAACAGGGATAAGTCAAGTACATGCATAAGTGATAAACCTTCTAACCACTGATTCAGAATAATGCAATTTTTTTATGTCCAGAAGTCTGTAAAATGTGTAACAATAATAATCACACTTTTTTTTTTTTTCTTTTTTTTTTATATTGAGCTTATTGCATGTTGGCAGTGTGACCTTCTATTAAAAAAATAAAACCAGGCCTTTTTGCTCTCTGGTTGAAATGTAATTATCACTCAAATTGAATATGGCTTTTAGAAAACCCAAGCTAATTTTCAAAACTACAGATGAATGCAACTTTCCATGTATTTATTTTTGCTTACAAACATAATCTTAACATTATTTCTAATTGTAACTTAATAACATGGTGCTGATTGCATAAAGGGTATGTGACAAAATTATGTGACTATTTAATAGGAGATATGATTATAGAATTGTTTCAAAACAGTTAATCAAAAAAAAAAAAAGAATGTTCATAAACCTAAATAATGAATGGCTGAAGAACGCTGATGCGAGAGTATGTGAAATACCCTATGAGTTTGTACAGAAAAGTGATTAATTTTAGCCTATTTTGAAGCTATGAGAGTAGGTATAATAGCTGCTCAACAATATCTTTGCTAGCTTGTACCAGTTGAGCTAGAAATATAGTGGGTGCAGTTCTATTGAATTTGCAGTGATATTACTGGTCTTTCTGTATTTCATGATAAATCCTCTTTAATTCCCTAGTGAGAGTGCAGCACTAGGAAAATTTGAGAGAAGGTGGTAAATTTTGATCTGTAAGTACTTCCATTTACTGGAGTAGTGTTCCTGTTTTTTCTCTTGGAATGTCCAGTATGTCATTCTAAGTCCATTTTGATTTTAACATATGTATAATCCATCATTCCAGTCTAGCCACCTAGACTATGAAAACATATGTTGGGAGAATCTTCTAAGAGGTGGATTGATTCTCAGAGGTGCCTTTGGTTCAGTCCTTATAGGCATGAATGGGTTTGTTAAAGCTTAATCCTGTACTTTTGTTTTCTAGCAGTCTGTTATTGTTCAATATTTAAATCCTACTCAAGAAGCTGAGTTTGTAAGGTACATGTTTGATCTTACACGATTACCAGTTCAGTTCAGCAGGGCTCTGCGCAGGTCTAAAACCTGATTTGTGTTGGATCAATGCTCTCAGCGTTGAGGGCCCTATCTGTAGGTAACCAAATTGAGTTGATTTTTAGTTATGTTTGAGTTCCATTCATATTTTTATGTAAAACCTTCTGTATATATTTTCTGCTAAAAAACCCAAACCAAAATGGACATTTCTCTTTATATACTTGAGTTAGACTGCAAGGTTTGTGTGACTTGTGAAAGTGTCACTGTTTGACATTGCAGCCTTACTGTCAAAACATAATTTGTGAAGGCACCCGCTTGGTAACAGATAAAGCATTAGTGTATTATGTGTATGCTACAGTCATTGTAAAATCCTGGAGTTTTTGTGTGACCTTTGTCTAATGGTGTATTAATTACAAGAGAGATAATCCATTTAACAATAAGTATGGGATAACTAAATTAGCACAGGTCACCTAAAGGCCTTTTGTCAAATCTGATTGTTATGTTGTCCTTTTGACTTTTACCTTATGGTAGGCACTAACAAAGTATCTAAACTTTGATGGATTATAAACTCTAAACATGATATGTATTTTTCATAATGCTAATGTAATTTTCTAGGTACTGAAAAGGTCAAACCCCCACGTCTCTGTGTGCATTCTAAGTCTGTCTTTCCTTTTAATATTTCTTTTTCTCTGTTCCTCTGGTTCAAAAGTTCACTCAGTTCCCAAATGGCCACCTAATTTTCCAGTTATTCCCTCAAGCCATATGTGTTTTGGTTTCTTTATGGTTTATTAGGTACTGTAGGAAAGTAGCATAAGTTATATCATCTAATGAAATTCAAGCACACTTCAGTGATGCTTTGACTTGATTGCTGGCCGCAATTAAATCACAACGAAGGAGAATGATGCATAGGCTTACGTATCCAGACACCGTACAGAAATTGGAAGAGGGATAAAACACAACAAAACGTCCAAATAAAATAACAAAACCCAAAACCAAGACAGACCAAGCAAAACAGCACTGCCAGGCACTCTGGTCTTAACTGGATTTTTTTTTTTTTTTATTGGGTAATAGGCTGATTGATAGCAAAATCATAACTTGCTGTATGCTAACAGGCAGAGTTCACTTGTAGGTTATTGTGAGCTGATAAAGGGTTAGATGGAGTTTTGATTTTCGCATTGGTCCTTGGTGCACCAGATTAATGGAATTTCAATGAGAGACTGGAGTAGTCACAGCTTTGTCAGAAAAACAGATGGAGATTCTATAGCCATGTCTGCTCATTAATACCAGTTGCCTGAAAGGTGTACTACTTCTCTATACAAAAGACTCAACATAATTGATTTTTGAGCGGGGTATTTTTTCACTTATTGATGACTAGGTTTCTTGCAACTTAAATGACAGATTTTTGTATAGTACATTGTATAACAATGTTATGTCTGGTAATTCCTTACTCTCATCTGTATTTTGAAGAATATGTGTAGTGGGAAATAAATATGTCTTGATTAGTTAAAAAATGAAGTATACCAAAATACTTAAAAATTGAAATACTAGGACTTTCTTTCAAGTTGGTAGCAAACTTGTTTTTGGTTGAGAGGTCAGTGGGGGAGAAGTTACTATTTTTCATTTACTTTCCCTGTTTCATAGGATGGTATTAAATATAGGTTCAATGGTAGGCTGAAACTTCCCTATTTAACTATGTAATCTTCTTCTATAATATAAAGTTATTTTTTAACTGTAAATTTTTTTTGGTTTATGGTATGTTAATTTGATTCCGTGAGTAGGAAATGCCATTAGTATTTAAGGAACAAACGTTCTGACTTTGTAAGTACTGAGTGAGAGAGAACCTCTGAAGAAGACGTGTCTGTTTAGCTCTACAGAGGGTATGTCTTTCAATAATAACTGGATCTAAAAATGCATTGAGCGCTGTGATAAAATAATTTAGATCATCACCATTTCTACAGAAGGTCAGAAATGTTGCCTTGAGTATGTAAGGATGAAAATGTGTCTGGGGACTTGTATGCTCTTCAAACTATTATATTAGGCTATAGCTTATGAATAAAATATGGTTTTTAGTAGAAAATTCTTAAACAGTGTGAGAATCTCATATTAAATCTCCCCATAGTTGAAGTGGAGGAAGGTAGGGCTAAAGCAAGCTAAACAGGGCATTTAGAGAACTTTGAGGAAACAGAATAAATGAAAGGGTTGTGCTTAAACTGTTTGTTATCAAGGTGCAGTCTTGAAAACGAGCAAAATTTATTACTCCTGCAACATGCGTTTCTTGCTATAATTTTTTGATGAAGCAACAGGCCTTGGCACTTAGTTTTCATGCAGCTTCTTTGGAAAAGTTCTATGCAAGTCTTGCAAGCTTGAGTCAACTACTTTACATGATCTATAGTATTTACTTTGTATGAAGGTCATGTTTTGCATTTTGATTGATCAAGTGAGAATGAAAAATTTTTTGACTGAGTTTTGCATGCTGCTTCTTTTGACATTTTAAGTCTCAAATACAAATACTGATGAAGCTTCCCCCCCCCCCTTATTTTTTCTGTTTGTGTCACTGAAGAAGGGGGGGATAGAGTTCAGTGTAAGACTTTATGCCCACTTTCTTCAACTACATTCCTACTGAGTTTATTTTTGAGGCACTATATTAAAGCAAAAACTGTGTTCCATCACAGAGCCAGTTAAGCAGTGTTAGCAAGTAAGCAAGATGGTAAAGGTTGGAGAATGGAAAATGCAACTAGGATTTTCTGTCCTTTCTCTTTTTGTCCTTCTTATGTCTCCAGTCTTATATTGGTTTACCACTATTTTAGTAAAATAATCATTTACATGTTTGCTTGTCTTGGGGATGACAGTATTGGAAGTTTACCTGAGTTATTCTTGATTAGTTATTTGCTTTTCAGTATCGGAGAGA